AGGAAAGCAAGGTGTCTATTATCACAGTGTTATTGGGTACATAGCAAAGAGGTGTACCTTCCCTTGTCTGACACTTACGAGTTGGATCTGACAGGTAGACTTAACTTGATTTTAACTTGCTTTTTGCAAGCGTTTGTTCACCTTCACCTGATAAATAGGTATGTTAGTTTGTTAATGTAGGCCAAATCTTGAAACTGAGTTTTGAACCAGCTAACGTTAACTAATCGAGTTAAAATTGTATAGAGTATTAGTTTATGCCAAGTGAATCAAACCTCATGATAACAATACTTATAATACCAGAAACTCAAACTTGCTTATACTATAGTGTTAGTGAGTACATCGCTGACAATTCAATTTATGTAAGTAAATTTTGCCCTTCTTGTATGATTGTTAGGAAGTTTGGTTTTTTATACTCTTATCGGTCTAGTATCTTGAACTTATATTTGTTATTTTGATACTTTTTTTGTCATTGTCATTGTCATTAATTCAATCCTTTGATGTTCCTGGAATAAAAATTATTATTATACAAGGTGTCTGCGAAAGGTTTGGAAATCTCGAAACTGTATATACTACAGGCCAAAATATGTGAATTGGTCTAAACTTACCTTAGTCCAAAAGTTGATAGTTTGCGAGATACAGGGTGTCAAAGTTACAATTTTATTTTCTATTTTTCTTGCTTGAGAAGTATTTCATATTTTGACATAAATCTCGGTATAGGGCGGTTTTCTAGTATTAGAAATAAGAACCCGTTACTTTTTATGGCCAAACTTCTAGAGAGCGCCACTTACAGCACTATTTCGGTAAATAACTTATCAAAACTTTTTTGTGCTACCCTGTATACAACAACTGACCAAAAATAATATTTTCTCGTATTTCCACAACAAAAAAAGGTTTACTTGTTAGAAGTGTCTGAAGCTAGTTTTCGAGATATATGTTTTTAAAAGTTCCAATGCATTATTTGTAGCATGATGATAAGCCTTTTTAAAACATAATAATCAAGTGGATTTGGATAATATATGAGTAGCGTTGCTTTTTTTTATATCGAAGCAGCCGCGCAGGCAGAAGCCTAAATGCCGGAATACCGCGGCTGCTATGATGATCCCAGAGAAATTTTGCTAATACGATTTTAGAACTGTCTAAGGTTAATAGAAATGGAAAAAGCTTCCTCTTGTAGATTGTACCACAATCTCGACACCCTAGGGACAAAGGAGCGGTCGTATCGGCCAGTTCTGGATTTACGAAGTTCGACACGGTTAGGATGGGACGCCAAAGTCAGACGGGTCTGTCTGGCAGGCACATCGCGCGGCGGCATCATGGAAGAGAGCTCTGAGGAGCAAAGTCCGTTGGTGTAACGGTAGAAAAGAGCTAGATCCCCTCGCCGTTCGGCGCTGCGAAGGAGTCCCGAGACTGTCTGTTAGAGAAGAGTCATCGATCAGTCGAACCGCCCTCCCCTGGACAGCATCGAGCATGGATAATGTAATCTGGGCGGCAGCACCCCAAACGTGTGAGCAATACTCGAGGCCAGGCCTTATCTGGACTTTGTATAGAGTGAGAAGGTCATGCGGAGAAAAGTACTTCATGGCCCTAAACAAATAGCCTCGCTTTTTCCCAGCAGCTGCAGCTATTGACGAGATGCGTTCGTGCCAGATCAGGTCCTCGGTGATTTGGACTCCTCTGGGACGCCATAGGCTGGAAGTTTGCTTAAGAGGGCAGCGTGCCACAGCTGATCGAACGCTTTCGTGATGTCAAGAGCAACGACATGAGCCTCACCATAAGACAGGTTGAGTTTACTCCACAATTGCGTGACGTAAGCTAGGAGGTCCCCTGTGGATCGTTCTTGTCGGAAACCATACTGCCTGTCGCTAATCAAGCTGTGACGTTCGAGGTAGTCCAGAAGCTTGCGATTTATGCACCTCTCCATCACCTTACTTATAACAGAAAGCAGAGCTATAGGCCTGTAGTTGTAAGGGTCGGTCTTAGATGTGTTGGACATAAGCAAATCTCCAGTTTTCTGTTAAGGTGCCGGATTCATAAGATATTTGGAAGAGACGCGAAAGAACTGGAGCAAGCTCCGCTGCACACCTCTTCAGTACAATGGCAGGAATCAAGTCCTGACCAGAAGCTTTGTTCATCTCGAGCGACAAGAGCACTCGTATTACGGTCTTATGCCTGAATGTTACCTCCCGCATAGTGTAAGGAACCTTTTGAATTGACGGCACTTGGGCGTTGGGGGGGTCCATGGTGGAGTTGGCAGCAAAGATCTTGGCTAGTACTTCCGCCTTGTCCTTTGAGTCGAATACAATAGTTCCATCCTGACACGTAAGTGGTGGAAGGCTACTGTGTGCGAAGTTCTTTTAAGTCTGCTTGACCAGCGTCCAGAAAGACCGACTGCCATTGCGCTGCAACATTACCCTAACTTTTATATCGTGCTAGTTTTTGGCATTGCGCACCCCTTCTTTATATTTGTTTCTGGACCCAACTTTGGCTTGTCTCTTCTCCACAGATGGGTTTTGTATGAAGGTTCTGTGTGCCTTGATCTTCTGCTGGAGAGCAGCGTCACACGAATTGTTAAACCAGCTGTTGGACCCTGGTTTAGGCCCTTTCACTGTGTGATGGATGTATTCCTACATTCCGACGCGGATAATTTCTGTTACCAAAGAGCAGACAGCCGACGCATCCGCATCAGTGAAACAGACGTCTCTCCAAGGAAAGCTAGAGAAGAAGTCTCTGAGCCCCTCCCAGTCGGCATGTCCGTAATGCCAAGTTTTGCGGCCTGTAAGAGTTTCTGCTGCCACAGCGGGTTCTGACCGAAACCGAACCTCCAGAACACCGCGGTCTGGACAGGATGCGTGGTCAGAAAGAGATTCAGCAGGCTACTGGCGTGTAACGAGACGCGGGGAAAAAAGTAGGGCTCGTCACTAGCTGAGTCAGCCCTTGAGTAAGAGCGAACGCTTCGACTGCACGACCTGCTGCATCGGTCTTGTTTGAGCCCAACCAAAGCTCATTATGTGCATTGAAATCATCGAGAAGAACTACCTCTGAAGCGGGGTGATTCATGTTCAGGAAGTCTGGACGGCGAGGTATTCGAGTAGGTCATCCCAGTTATGATCCGAAGGAGACCGATAAAGGCAGCAAATAAATTTTGGTGATGTTTTGGAGTTGAGGCGAAGTCACAGAATGTCCTTCCGGTCTGATTCCAAAGAAACATCTCTGGAGCAGGAAAGGCCGCTGCGGACAAAAGCCACAACTCCCCCGTTCTTTCTCAGATTGGAGTACACCTCGTAGTTTGGGAAGTTAAGATGGTTAATCGGTGCAGACTCTGAGGTTTTTGTCTCCGCCAAGAAAAGCACGGCGGGACGATTGGATTGCAGGTAGTGATGAACAGCATCAATGTTGCTGTTAATCCCGCAGATGTTCGAAAAACAAATTTTATCGTCTATGTTGTTCCCTCGAGCCGTCCCTCCACCCAGACATTCCGAGAGTGGAGTGCGTGTACGTCCGGAGTTCTTAGTACTCGAGGGATCCATCATCATTAATTTCTTTGTTTTGGAAGATAACCGACTGCATAGCTTAGGTGTAGAAACATGCGAACATTTATAAGACACCCTGGAAAAAGCTAGCAGGTGGTACTGCCTCGGTCGACTGGTCCTTGTCTACCACCTTCTTTTTACGTGTCAGTAATATTAAATAGACCTAAAGTGGCCCGTTGGCGGACTTGTACCGCCACTCGGCAATCGGTACTGAGGTATTCCTTAACGCGCGTACAATCACTTGAACGGGACGAAGTTGTAAACGGGATACAGCAACTTCCGGAACAAGCAGTTGCCACGGCCGCGCTCAGTAGGGTTTTTCACAATAACAAATGAGGATGGCAACAAAACTAATAAACGGAAATAATAACTACAAAATTGTTCAAAATGTGCACCACATTGCCTAACACAATCCCGAGCTCGACGAACTAATCCTTGCTGAACTCTCCAAGGCATTTGGATGTTATTTTTCATTTCCTGGCTAAGGTGGAAAATTCTTTGTAGAAGATCGTCTACAGTTTCCACTTGCGTATTGTAAACGCGTCGTTTTAAATCACCCCAGAAGAATAAATCCAGAGGATTTAAATCTGGTGATCTAGCAGGCCACGAAACACGTCCTAATCGGCCTATCCAATGGTCTGGATAAACTCTATTTGGGTGCTCTCTAACTAATATACTAAAATGAGGTGGAGCGCCGTCGTGCATAAACCACATATTCATGTGTGTTTGTAATGGAAGATCTTCCAGCAAAGTGGGTAATTGTTCTTCAAGAAATTGTAAATACCTTTGGCCATTTAGTCTAGCTGGTAACTCAACGGGTCCTATTAAATATTGTCCAATTGTTCCTGCCCATAAATTAAAATTGTACTTGGTGGCGGGTTTATATTATTGCATGAGAATTTTCGTCTGCATAAATGTGAAGATTATGCGAGTTAATGGCCCCATCCCTTCTAAATCCGGCTTCGTCCGAAAATAATTTTAACGAAGTAAAACCATTGTCGTGGTTAAACTTCCTTAAGAGCCTTGTACAAAATTCTACCCTTGCGGGTATGCAGGTGGTATGGATGGAGCAGTTGCTCTTGAAAAATCGTATTTACCGTACATTTGGAAACTTGAAATTCTCGAGCTACATTACTAACCCCAACTGTAGGATTTTCAAAGACCTAAAACATTTTTTTCAACTTCAGCTGTACGTACAGTTCTGGGAGCTCCACTATGTCGGCCCATATTTAAACTACCTAAAATCCAAATGGTTTTTACTACTCAAATTAATCATTTCTTACCAGTTTCTCGTAACCGCTGATCGCTTCGTTGGAAAGTCTATTAGGGAACCTGTCAGCGTACAATCTTAGTGCTTTTAAAGCATTACATCTTGCCAATCCGTACATTTAGTGCATATAAGATATTTGGTCAGTTATATACAGGGTAGGACAAAAATAAGATAAGATATAGGATGTATAATCATATATTTTATAATTTCACAAATTTCCGTAACTTAAAAGAGTTAAGCTCCCTCCTGAAATTTAGTTTTCTATTAAAATGAGCTAAGTCTAATATTATTTTGCTATAACTCTGAAAGTATTAGAAAATGACTTATGCCACTTACTGATATTGAAGAGCAACCTTCTTTAACCCTGTAATGCTTAGTGGGGTTTCGCATCACCCCAAAGAAAATTCAAATGTTTTTTAATTTTTTGTGCATAAATTGGCAACATCGGAGATCCCGCTATGTTCATTTGAGGTTAAAGTGTGTGTGTTGTTGGTCGCACATTTTTGTTCAGTGCAATAGTGTATATGATATTTTGTATTTGGGGTGCCGAGTAACCCCAGGTAAGCTTAAACTGGTATTTTTATTTTATTCCACACACTAGATTACGTAATTTATTTAGATGGCTGTCCGACCAGATGATCTCAAATTTGAAGAAACTCTGTTACGATGGAATGAAGAACTCGACAATGAACCTGATTCAGATAATGACGGCACTGACTATGACGACCATGTTTCAATTCTACTCAACGGATGATAGTGAAGTAGAGAGTGAGACAGAACAACAGCTTCCTGGCAAAGTAATAAAAGGAAAAAATGGACATATTTGGAGCACTGAGCTTCCATGTCGTACTCGAACACCTAAGCGAAACATTAATCAAATTCAAGCGGATAACCAAATGGAAATGGCATTTACCATTTTGGGTTGGTATTTACCAATCCGTTCAAGCGAGTGTAGTTATCAGTTTGGTTATAAGATCCGTGACGTCACGAATCAGCTGTTATATGTCATAGTTATTACCGCAAAATTGTGGTATTTACCCAACTCAAGAGTAGTTTTATATTTCTGGTTATTATTTGAAATGTGACAAGTTAGAATTTTGCCGGGTATTGGATATTGTGATTGTACTTCAGCTTCATTTTTGAGAAAAATGATACAGACTGACTTCAGTTTTACCATACTCATTACGGTTGTTGGGGACACTTTAAATGTGTAGCCATATACCACAAGAATATTAAAATATGGCCATATAAACTCACTAGATGATATCCACCTGTATACGGTTTTGCTAATTTCTGTTTTCATCATTTCTGCTGAATCAATAAATGTTTTCTTTGACATGCGGAAAAATTTAGAGAATTGAAAGTTATCATAGCTACAAAGCCATGGTTCCATCATTAAAAAAAAATCTGAAAAAACATTTCTCCCATGAATATTATGAAAGGTTTCTTATTTAAACTTTCCATATACAGTTGTGGACGAAAAAGCACCGATTATTAAGTGATAATAAAAATAATCAGAGATTATATACGCGCTTTTCTAAAATAAACAACTTGCAACAAAACCGCGGTTAAAACCAACGCGTTCAAGCGATTCGTGTAACTGACGTCATCAACCCGTGTGTCATCTTGAACCACATTATAACCGCGACACATAACACAGACATTTTGGTTATTCGCTTGGATTTGATTATTGTTTCATGTATTCCAGGACCAAAAGGTGCGGCCAAAAATATTTCAACGGAATTAGAGGCATGGAAGTTATTTTTTAGCGCGAATGTTATAGATATTATAGTGATGCATACAAATATGGAAATAGAAGAGAGGGACATATGTTGCTAATTGTGGCTTTGTTAACGAGACAGACGTTCAAGAGATCTTGGCTTTGATAGGACTGCTTTATATGACAGGTTGTAGAAAAGACAATCATCTAACTACAGCAGAAATGTGGTCAAAGCATGGACCAGAAGTGTATCGAAGCGTAATGAGTGAAGCAAGGTTTAGATTTTTTATATCTTGCCTCATATTTGACGACAAAACCATGAGAGACCGAGAAGATAAATTTTCTCCAGTACGTAATATATGGGAAATGTTTATATCTATGTACAAAACCTGACAAATATGGAATCAAAGTTGTAACGATGTGTGATTCACGCACATATTATATGGTTACTGCTATTCCATATATCGGCAAAGAAAATAGGTCAGATAAAGAACCTCTCCCAGCTCTGACAGAACCCATTCACGTAACCGGACGCAATTTGACGATGGACAATTGGTTTACTTCCATCCCACTGGCTGACAAAATGCTTGTTGACTACAATTTGACCATTGTGGGTACTCTCAGAAAAAACAAGAGGAAAATTCCTCCATCATTTCTCCCAAACAAACGAAAAGAAATTATGTCTTCTCAATTTGGATTCGACAACCAAAAAACCTTGGTGTCTTCACACCCAAGAAGTCTAAATCTGTGCTACTTTTATCGACAATGCATTCTGGTAGTACAATAGATGAAAATAAAAAACCCGAGATAATAAATTTTTACAATTCTACCAAAGGAGGTGTCGATACCTTTGACCAGATGGTGCACACATATTCGGTATCCCGCAAAACACGCAGGTGGCCATTACGCTTTTTTTATGGTATAATGGATCAAGCAGGCATTAACTCCAACATTATTTTCCAAATTGTTAAGCGTGATAGACAAAAAAGTGTTCGTCGAAAATACCTATTTGAACTTGGACTACAACTGGTCAGGCCTCATATGGAAAGACGTTTGACAAAACCAATACCTCGAAAATTGAAAGAATCAATAATGAATATTCTAGGTATGAAAACAGAAGAAAAAGTTGATCCACCTCCATCAAAATTGCTAAAACAGACCCGCTGCATTTTATGTCCAAGAACAAATGACCAAAAAACAAAAACTGCCTGTGCGAAATGTTTCAAGGCTGTTTGCAGTAATCATCGAGTTGAAATATGTACCGAGTGTTTGAAATAAATGTTTTATTATTGAAATAAAAGTGTCTATCTTTTATATTTTGTTCATTAAATAGGAATATATCACTGGGGTTATTGGTAACCCCGCCTAAGCAACTATAGCCGTGCTATTCGCCTAAGCGCTCCAGGGCTAAGTAATAAAATATTCAACTCAATTTTCGTATTTTCTGAGATACACCACTTTGTGTTATTGGCGACAACATGTGAGCAGTACTGGTGCAAACATTTCGACGTTATCGTTTATCCTATCAAAAGGGAATTATCAGTTTGAAATGGATTCTAACGTTAAATCGAATAAATGTCTGCTATTCTTACTGATGTGCGTTTATTTTTGTATAATACGTGTCAAGTTTAAATATTTCTGTCTGCTACAGCGCACCCAGCACGTACCGAGTACTGCATTCCCAACACAGATCAACAGAATAAATGAATACCTCTATTCAAGACTTCACTGGCCGAGATGATCATAACGAAATTAGGTCTTCGGTAATACCAGGAAATGTTGTCCAGCGGTAACCGTTCGTGAATGTCACTAGGTATCAGGACACAGCTTGCCGCATTGAGTAACATACAAGAGTGTAACCGTAGCGCCTCTCGGTTGGAGGTTGGTGTAGTGCAAGTCAGGTCATCTTTATGCGCATAAAGCGCCTTGTTTCGTCGTTTTTGCAAAATACACAATGGAAGTTAGCCGGTGTGCGTTCTTGGCGCGATAATTCATTTATTTTTACCTGATCTCTCCGTATAAGAATGGTGCTAGCTTGCGGGAGTTAGAAGATTTTTATTGGAATAATATAAGCACGAGCTTATGTTCAAAGGGCAGTGGCGTACAATGGTGGTGTTACAAATAAGAGAACATTTTTTTGTCTGTACACAAGGTGATTCAGAAGATATTAGCAATATTTCTGGACGTAAAGAACACAAAAAGTTTATATTAGCCAATGCCTGGGGATACAGTGCGTTGAATAAAAAATAAAAGAAGGCCTATACCTAAATGTTCGTGCCTGAAGCTAGACCAGTGAAGTAAATGTTGATTTCTATACACGAAGAATGAAAACTGTTCTCTATGCCGATGACTTTTTTCTAAGGTCTATTGCGTCCTACAATACAACTGTTGAAAAATTGGGTTGAATATTTGGGGTAAAATCCTTAAAAAAGCTTGTACATCCCTCTTACTTAATAAAGTTAGTGAAGTTTAACATTGAAAATTGTATGTGGTGTGTTTGTGAGATATCAAGTCATCCTATCAGGCCATAGCATTATTAAGCAATATTCATGTTTTGTTTTTATTCTGTCATGCGTGGAATAGAAAACAATATCATGTATTTTGGTAATATATTTCAGAACAGATGGTTATTGGTACCTTATTTTTTTGTTATTTTCAGACTTGATATCTGTTCTGGATACTAAAAATGCCATAACAATCTAGGTGGTTGAGCTGGAGAGAAAAAACTGGTATCGATTCGCTTTCTGACAAGCTATTTGCTGAATTTTTTATGGTTCATCGACAGGCTGTCACAAATGTGCGATTGTTTCTAAAATCTTGGAAATAAATGTCGAATTACATTTCGGGGGGTTTGTCAAGAAGAAGGAAAAGAAGTTGATAGATGCAGAACCTACTGAAATGGTTTGATCAACTAGCCATAAGACAAGCTGTTAATAAAATACAAGTTAAGCTAGTACTCAAGTTTCGCCTCAATTTACAGAAATATCTGGAAATTACGAATTATGTTGACAAATGTTTCTGTGAAGTTAGATGATCCATGCATGTAAGTAATATACAGGGTCCGTCAGAAAGTACGCATGTTTTTTAAATGAGTAGTACAGTCAAAATAAGTATGGAAAAAATGTTTTATTATATCAAAATACTCCGAAATACAAGCCATTTTTTTAAGTAAAACAAAATTTACTTTCTAAAAACTATGTCGTTTATATGGCGCCCTTGAGCCGAAATGTAGGCCAGCATCCGTGCAGGAATTTGGGTTACTTCTCTTCTTATTTCCTCCTTCAAATGGACGAGGGCCCGAGGCTGGCTTTGGAACTTTTGATTTCAGGTAGCCCCATAAAAAAATAACACGTTGACAGGTACGGGGAGCGAGGAGGGCATGAAATATCGCCATGACGTGAAATGAGACGACCTGGGAATTTTTGTCGAAGAAGTTCCATCGAACTTTCGGGATATGCAGGGGGTGCTCATGCAACTGTTGGGGGTTCACTGGAGACCAATGTCGTCAATTTTGTTTATTGACGTA